CTAAACTTATTCATGAACTTATTTTAATCTGTTGAATTGGTATCGATAAGACTCATCTTCGTCACCACAGTCCTCTTCTTTGCCATTCATCCAAGACTAAACGTGGCTATAAATCTAGAGCTAGAGGTCTTAGCTACACTAAGCTAAGAGAATTAGTTATTGAGGCCTTTAGAGGCATTGTGCCAGATACATCGCGTATCGGAACGCACAGCGTTAGGTGTGGCGGGGGCTATGGCAGCCGCTATTGTCGGTGTTCCGGTTCGTCTTTTTTTGCGTCACGGCCGCTGGTCTAGAGTTTCCGCCAAAGATGGCCATGTTAGAGATTCTCTTTCTTCACGTTTGTCTGTTTCTAAGGCGTCAGACATTTAGTTTTTTCGTTTGATAGTAGGTGTTTTTGTTCTAGCTGGTCTTGCCCGGGAGACCGTCTGATTTGGGGTACAGCTGGCCTGGGGTTTTCCTCCTAAGAGCAAGTGGACGTACGGAGAGGTTTTTCACCCAGCTGTTGTTCCACTACCCCAATTCAGTTAGCTTTTGCTAGTTTTGACGCGTGTACCGTTAGTTCGCATTTGTGGATTTTGCTGGCAGGAGTATTTTTCCTTTTCATAGTGCAATAAACGAACGTAAAAAGCAAATGACCGTTAGAAATTGTTGAAAACTATTTATATCGTTATTATTAGAGGTCTGGAAGCTAAACTGGGAAAAATGATCTGCAGCAGTAATCTAACCTGTTTAGACATCCATGTCCAACATGAGAAGTAACCGTAAAGCAACGGCTTCTCACTATTTACGTTGACATTTGGAGAAGGCTTTAATCTTGAAATATGAACCGAGTCTTCTTAATTCTATAATTAATGAAAGTCAGTTTTGCCAGACGCTTAAGTGTCAAAATGACGGCCATTTTATGTTGTGACCCTTGGTTCTCACATGATCAACAATGGCTGATGGACCTGGTGAATGATCGCTTTTAGCGAGGGCCTTAAAATGTTTTGCTTTTTTGTCATGGAGTCTTAATTCGTTTTGTTTTGCCAACGTAAAATTCATTACATTCCCAGCAACTGGCTTTGTAGGTCTTTATAGATTACTTTGGACCTCTGAGAGCGGGTCAGACGATCTTTGCTGACGATCTTTGTGACAGCCTCTACTCACCGAGCAAGCACGAACGCATGCTCTGTATGTCTCTACTTGATCCGGGTTACATGGCGAAGAAGTGGCTTGCCCTCCGAGGTCCCCGGGGCAAGGTCGCTCTGTCACCCTAACTCCGACCCTAACTAAAGATTTCCTTTTCATAAACGGTTAACTGCCATCGACAGAGAATTGCATGAAAAACGATAACTTCGCTCACCCTAGAGTGCGAAAAATTTTCTCCATCCGTCGAAACATTTTCATGCCTTTAGCCTGCACGTCAACTCACAGTCACGCGTGCACGTCACGTTATTAACATCGCTCGCATAATTGCACGTTATCTTTCTTGGGTCCCTCACGCAACTATTTCCGCCATCCTAACACAGGACGTTTTGTCAGGGCGTCTCATTTTTACCGTAATTTTAGCTAAATTAATCGTGCAATTGCGACAAAAAAAACAACGTACTTTACGTATTACATGAATTTTATTACCCGTTTTTCCCGATGTCACGCAATGTCAAACATTTTTTCGTATTTTTCAAATAAACCAAAAAATAACCTCCATGGTTCAATTTATCATGACGAATTTATAGAATTCTACGAGGTTTCATTAGAATCCGTTGCAAACTCATAAAAATATATGGGAGCCCAATCTCTTACAAAGAAACGGCCGCCAGTATGGCAAGCGTTGCCCACTGGAGAACATTTCTTTGTCACCTGAAAATTTGCGAGTTAGGGGTACCATATTTTTATGGTTTTGCAACGGATGTTAATGAAACTTCACAATTTGCTAAATTCGGCATGATAAATCGAGCAGTGAGGGGTTTTTTTTTGTCTAAATGAAAAAACAAAAAAATCAGAAAAGCGTGACTTCAGTAAAACGATATTTAGCAGCACTTCAATCAAGCGATTTTGAGTAAATTCTGGGACACAAGTCACGGATTTGCGCAATTTCGCGAACTGAAACTGGCGCGAACATATTTGCTCAAGATTTACTCTAACAATAGAACCTTTGTTTGATGAAATTCCCAAGAATGATGATCTCTGGAGTCTCTAAAAGATCATTGAAGATGTCAATCATTTACACTCCATCAAGATAAACTTGTGTCCAAAATGTGTAGATAAGAAAGACGACAACGTTCAGCAAAACTCAAATTCGTTCTTGCACTCGGCACCCTGAGCAGACTAAACCTCACTAAATCACAACCAAAACCACGCTTCCTTTTTGAAAGGACCCTTTTAGAAGACCTTTGAGGCCGAGATAAACCTAACTTTAGAATCGTGCTAAGGAACACACCAAAGTTGAGAGTTTATTTTGGTAACTTTTTCTTGACAGGACACTAAAAATATTGCTGGTAAAATGTTTCAAGGTGAGTCTTTGTAGTCCAATAATTACATGCTTTCCGCCGGAGATATTTGCACATGACGATGAACTTTATTGCTGGGAATGTATGATTCATTGTTTAAAAAGTTGAACATCTTTGGTCACGTACAAATTGATTCTTTGAAGATAGCATATCAGAATACCTTGAAAAAGTTTATATTTATTTCAGACTCAAAAAGTGAGAGATCCCGTGCAGGGCCAGTGCTTAACTTGCAAGCTCTCACCCGCGCAAGGCAAACTCGTGAGAGGTCGTGCGAGAGGCCATACATTCGTTTTGACGCATGTTAGGACAGAGTGTTAAAAAAAAAAAAAAAAAAAATTGNTTAATTTAACAGAAGCAAGCTAAAGCATTTACTTGAAGCTTATGGTTCAAGGCGGATGCAACTATTTAATAAGGAATTAGTCGTTAAATAACCAGAGTCGTTAGATAACCACCCTCTCCACCTTGACCCACGGTTATGTAAAAAAAAAAAAAAAAAAAATTGTAAATGGATGCCTTTTTAACATCATTTAATATATAATCCTTTCTCTTTTTATGAAGCCATTTCTTTGTTTCTTAGGATTTATCGCATTGCATGTATTTTTTTTCAACGCTCTTTTGATTGTAGCTTCAAAAGGGTGTTTTGAATTGTATTTTTTTTTTAATGCAAAGAACAATACGACAACAAGAATAGTTATAATAATAATATAAACTAAGAACAATCGGCCCCAGTTCTTAAATTATACTTTCGTTTCCGAATAAGCAAAAAGAGTGGATATGGACCGTCAATCTAAGAATAGGTTTAAACGAAGCAAATGAAACTGCAACTAAGTGTTTTCATCTCAGCTTGCATGTTACACAACACTGATCAAGCCCATTTTCTCCTAACCCTTGATGACGTATTTCCTTCATTCGAGGCAGGCCGCATACTAAAATAAACACGGAATGTCAATTGTTTTGAGTACCTACACCTCCTCACGTTAATTTCGCGACGGCAAAATTTAGCCAAGCTCAACTTTGGTCCAATATTATTTAGCAATTTTGGAAAAAATCGTCCAATTTGCTACATGAACTTGTCGCCAAATTTTATGCAAAACGTTGTTAAATGATTCAAATTGCTGTACGTGACCAAACTTGTGCATAATTGACAAGTCAGTACTTCAAACGTCAAAATATAATTTAATACGCACGTGCGCTTCAAACAGATTACATTAAAACACAGACGGTCGCAGGAAAGTTGCTTAGTTCTCGAGCGAGGGGTACGGTAATAAAACGCGATGACGAAGCGATCCCGTCCTGCGAAAAAAGATCGCACTTACGATACCGAAGGATATACCAAGCGAGCGGGTTGTTTATGTTTCAAGACAGACCGCGAAGAGGAGGTGAGTGGCATTTTAAATACAAAGATTCAAAAGACACTTAAACGCGAGTAAAATGCTTACCGTGATGAAACAAGTTATGTAAACATGAACATCAACAGAAGTTAGTCTTTGGGAACTTACACGTAATTGTAGCATAAATAAATCAGGGTTTTAATGCATGAAAGTAAAAACAAGATCCCTATTAAATCGATTCTCCTATCTGCAGCTGTCTAAATGCTCCAAATTGGATTACGTAACTGAACTTTTTGTAACTAGTTGTAATTGTTAGAGCTGTTTATTCAAACTAAGTTGATTACTGGTTAAACTTATGCTTTGCACAAACTGCCTTCTTTTTCACGTACTCAAACTTATTTCATTATTGCAATTTCTACATCGAACCGAGCTATTTCTTTTTAGCTGCCTGCTCATATTGATTGCATGATGCAGCAACACCGAAGCTGAGCAGGGTTCAGCTCCGTTGTCGAATTATCATCAAGCATTGATTAAGATTCATGCTAAGTTAAAACAAAGTTCTATTTTTTTCTGCTTTTAAACAAAAACTGATCTCGTGCACTGAACGCTGGCAAATATGGGTAACCCTATTTTACTTTTTCGACGACTTTTTAAATAGAAACTTCAACTCCTATTTGCATGGACGAAGTCAACGCGTGTTTCCAAAACATGAGGGTTTATACCAAGCCTGAAGCAATTGACAAGGGTTGGAAGTATAGCTGTTTTCCTGGTATAATTAACGTTTCCAGAAGGTTGACGGAGGAAGGGTTACCTGTTGCGGTGATTATATTCAGTCCGTATTCATGCAGGATTCATGAGAAGTAACTCCGGGGTTTTGCAATTCAAGAGGCCCTTACCTAATTAGCGATTCTGCATTTAGGTAACACCATCTATATATGGGAATACCAATAAATTGTTGTTGTTGTTGTTGTTAATTAGTTGCAGGCATTGAATTCACGTGGCGTGACGGCAGTTTTTATGCATCACGACACAGCTAATTTCTGTTTAGTTTGGCATTATGCCTACTCCAAGGAAATTACTATTACCGATAGCTTTCATTGTATCGTTTCGTAGTATATCGTTTTCTTTCTTTATTTTACCAAAGGGAAAAAAAAAAGAGAGAGAGCATTTCAACAGATGTGTATTATGAAAGTTTCAGTGACGCTTGACTAATGGTCGTGAAAGAAAGCTTTTAAGACTAGCAAGAAATAATTTGATATTTCTATATAGTTTTATTGTATTGTTGATAAGACATTTGATAACAAGTTATTGTCATGAAATTTTGTTGCGTAGTAATACTAAAATGTTAATCCGTTTAGTTTCGCAATTTCTCGAAGATATATTTATCTAAATAAGTTCTCGGATTCGCTTAATTTTAATTTTCCGGCGCATCGATGCATCTGGAAAAAGGGATGTTGGAATTTCGTCGCGTTTGTCGTTTTATTGGGACAGAACAACTTTACGATGCTGATTCAAGTTTGCAAAAGATAAAATGCGCTTTTGTATCCGAGGACCGAATTAAATTTAAATTCGGCACCACTCCTAAAACAATTATTTAGAATCATGATCATAGACACTTTTGTGCCTTACGACCTCAACTAAAGCAAGATGCCAAGACCCGCATTTTTCGCTCTCAGAATAAAATGCCAAAGTGTGTAATGTGGAACGGTGATAACTGACCTTGTTGAAAACACTAGCTTCGAATTCATCTTCTATGCATACTGAGTTCTTGAAATTCTATATTCGCGACAAAAACTTGGACACAACAAGTGGATTTGGCGCTTTCAAAGTTCATCCGAGTCGATAGTTTGATATGACAACAATGATACAATGTGGGTTAGATGACCCTATATATTCATAGTTCACTGAAAGTTGCGAAATCTAAGTATGCACAGTATTGCAACATTTTAGCGAACTGCAAAAGATAATACATATGTACAAATTGGTTAAAATGAGAGCACAGCAACATCTCGAAAACGTGATCAATATATTACAATACTTGGACATTGTACTCTCGTCACATTTCGAAAAAATGCGTGACGATCACAAAGCACGTACACTTTTTTATATAAAGGACCTTTTTTGAAAGAACGTCGAGGATGGAATTAGTGCAGGCAATCCAAATTTTAAGAACATCTAAGATAACATCTGCAACAATTTAAAAGAACAGTATGAGCTTTGGTAAAATGTAAAAC